CCAAGGTTCCCACTTGGGATCTGGCGGTGGTTCTTGGGGCGGTGGCTGAGGCCCCCTTCAAACCCCTGGAGTCAGCTGAGGCTAAGCACTTGACCCTCAAGATGGCCTTTCTCCCTGCTATCACCTCTCTGAGGAGGATGGGGGATCTCCAAGCGCTTTCTGTTCCCCGCAAAGCCTGGAGTTTGCCCCGGGGAATATTAGGGCTATCCTGCACCCTCGTTCAGGATACATCCCTAAAGTGCCTTCTTGTGCGGCAGGGTCCACAGTGCTGCAGGCATTTCATCCTCCACCTCATGTGACGGCGGAGGACGGGAGACTTCATCTGCTCTGCCCTGTCAGAAGCACTGAGTATTTACACTCTGAGGTCCTCCCGTTGGAGGAAGGCTGACCAGCTGCTAGTGTGTTTTGGGACTCCCAGGGCCGGGCTCCCTGCATCCAAACATACTATTAGCAACTGGATTGTTCAGACTTCCCTGGCCTATCAGGTGCGCGGTTTGCCTTCACCTGTGGCTGTGAGGGCTCATTCTACCAGAGGCATGGCGGCCTCTCGAGCCCTCCTTTCCGGGGCCTCTTTGCAGGATGTTTGTTTAGCGGCTGGCTGGGCCACTCCGCACACATTCATTCGGTTTTACAGTCTTGATCTTCCTTCGGCACCTGGCACTCGTGCGCTCTCCTCTTAGTCGTGCCACTTTATTGCACACAGGGGCAGGCGGGGTTTTCGGCACGGTTTAGTGGGTATCTCGTTCCCATAGTGTCGTAACCGACGCAGTTCAAGTTCCCTCGAAGGGGAACGTCTCGGGTTACGTATGTAACCCTGGTTCCCCGAGAAGGGGAACGAGACACTGCGTCGGTTACGACACTATGGGAACGCCTCTAGGCGAAGCAGGTCTGAACGTGAATGAAATCACTCCAATCCTATTGGCTTGTTTCTAGAACGGTAAGGTGTGACGGAATAACCGGAGGAGTATAAAGCACACCTGTACACACTCATCATTAGCTTAAACTATGAAGCTGGCGCTTCAGGCGGGGAGAGAGGTGCGGCGGGCCGACGCAGTGTCTCGTTCCCCTTCTCGGGGAACCAGGGTTACATACGTAACCCGAGTCGTTTTTCCCCGAGGGGAAATCCTCTCCGTCTGATTTGGGTTATGATGATAGATATTGTTACAGACTTTTGTTGTTGAAGCTGCTGGTTCCTGTTGAGCTTTGGAATGTGCAATAAGTGTTATTAGCACAGATCACGGTTGAGCCAAAATAGAGAAGCTGATTTTTATTCTTTTACCTATAGGAGATTTATTATAACCTTCTGTTTTATTTTCATCAACAGAAAACTACTGTCCTGTTATGTCAACAAAGTAGTTAACTAGCATTTGAATACTTCATCCCCAAGGGAAGGGTTCTGGATTTCATGACCTCTGTAATAGTCTAATAAACCCTAATTAGCAAAAGGCAGCTGGTTCTCAGTAGAAGGATCAAACTTTAGCTCTTGAAGTTTTCAGTTGATGAAGTTGTAAACTATATTTTGTTATAATTCTAGCTTTTCTAGGAAATCCCATACAAACAAGGAATTCTAGGAAAGAGGAGGCCTGTTAGCGTGACTAGTGACTTAGGCTTTAGTTTAGAATGAGGGACATAGTCTATATGTTACTGAAAGACTACATTTAGAGTTATTTGGACGCTGTAAACACATTTGGTTTTTTTGCTACTTAAGAATTGTCCTTATTTTGTAAGTGTAACTAAAAATTAAATATATAGTTTAGATTACAATATTCTCTTAATAGAAATATCACATTCTTTTATTCATCCATGCTGGAGTGTCGCTCCATGCTAGCTAAGAAGGAACTAAGAGGGAACTCCGTGTCATTACGTGCCAGCCAACAATGGACGTTTCTGTAATGCAGTCAATAAAATGCCTAAAAATTTAGATTGAAGAAACAAGTACATTGCAAAATTGATAGAAATCTTGTCTATAACTGCTCAATTTCATTTCACAATATTGGGGGACAGAATTATTCCAAAGGTTTAGTAAAAGTTGATAAACCTGTTTTAGTGATTACTTACAAAAAAAAAAAAAAAAAGGATCATGCTGCTGAGCATTTTAATCCTAATTTATAATTATGAAGAGCAAATACAAATAAGATAAAGATGAAGGCCCTTTAAAAAGGCCTACTTCACCATTCCATAAAGGTCATAAAGCACCACAGACAAACCTGAATTCCCCTAAGAGAAAGTTTAAATGACAGCACTAATAAAACATTTTATATAATTGAACCCTGGATAAAGTACCTTTTGCTGCTAATACTGCAATCTTTGATATTTGGGCATGCATCCAAGTAATTTCTGAATAACAGGTAAAACTGTATTCTCAATAAAGTGGCCCTGAATATTTTTGTATCACAGAGAAATGTTTAAATATTACTAACACTGATGTCCATTTTTGAAAGAAACAAGAAGTCTTTAACAGATACAAACACTCATTAGCTGAAAAAAATTAACCGCATGGAGGTCCCCTCTTTGGTAGGTAGATACTGCTCAAGGATCCAAGTGCCCTCTTGGCAATTTCTTGAAGACAATGTTCTGGTTTTATTTTCACAGACTCCCATCATTGGCCTATGGTAACCCCTCTTAGTCTCTTATCATTGGCTCACGGTAACTCTGCCCACCCTCTTATTTTGTATGTGACAGCATGTGGGAGATAACTGGTGAGGGGTTGGGGACCGTTGCTTCTGGTACAACCAGATTATTATATATAGTCTGTAGTTCCAAACTCTTGTCTGCGACTGATAAAAATAGGTTCCTGTTTCGAAAACGAACTCTGTCTGATAAAACCAGACCGATTTTAACAACCGGAGTCTGGGGTTATAGATAACTCTATTCCATAACTGGTCTACAAGATTACCTGAAGATGCTAATGACAGTTAAAACACACAACACAGCTCATTGAGAAAACAGAGAGAGGTGCGGGGGGTGGAGCACATTCCTCAATTCACCCTGCACAGCCTATGCTACACCAGAAAGAGAGAGGACAGAGAAGAAGAGACACAGACTCTAGAAGGATTAAAGTTTTAAGACTCACAAGTTTAAGACTAGGCTACAGCTTTGGAGTGATAATGATGGCAAGTTTGTCACACAAAGCTTTAGCAAAGATTATAACAAGTTTAATTTTGGACCTCTCTCTTATTTTGCTGCAGGCTGTTGAAGGTAATTTATAATGCTGTTTAATTTTTACTCACCGTTATACCATTTTACTGCTTTACTGTCATTATTTCAATTTATTCTTTACTTGTTTAATAAAAAGACTGACTTGATTCCAAATCAATGAAGAAACCTCCTACTGATCCTTTGCTGGCCCCGGAGATTCCTCCTTTACTTATAACTCACTGTTATACTATTTTAATGATAAATTTATTGTCATAAACACCTACTAGTTAATTTATTCAAGTTTTATTACTTAATAAAGTCTTTAAATCAATGAAAAACCTCCAATTATCAGTCAAAAACACACAACGGAAGGATGTATGCACCCAAATTATTGAAGTTAGTTGGTAAAGATTGAGTGAAGCAAAAAAGTCTAAACATGTATCTGGTTCTACAGCTGTTTCTAAGGTTCCTGAGTTTAGAGATAAGTTGGTGCCAGTTGAGGGCAGGTCTTAGTGAATTTTGTCTCTAATAGCTAGAATTTTATCATTAAAGAAGCTCATGAAGTCGTAACTACTGAGAGCTATGGGAATACTTGGCTCAATAGAGCTGTGACTCTGTCAGCCTGGCTACAGTGCTGAAAAGAAACCTGGGGTTGTTCCTATTTTCCTCTATTAATGACGAGTAGTACGCTGCTCTGGCATTACGGAGGGCCTTCCTATAAGTTTAACAGAATCTCGGGTTGTGCTCCGCGAAACGAGAAGCTTTATGAATTAATATTTTCTGAATATTAAAATTCATAATTTGGTTTTAATTCTCATAAGTTTATTAAAACATAACTATACATGCTACAATAGATACTTAAGGAATAATCATAGTGTATTGGATGCCTGAGCTATTGGAGAAGGCAGATCATGTGTAGCGCCCTCATTTCAAAGCAAGTGCTTTGGGTTTTCTCCATGTCCTTCAGAAAAGACACAGGCAGGCAACAATAGTAGGCTCGGCAGCCAGATCGTTTAAAGTGATCTCATCAATACCGTGATGTAGATTAATAATGGAAAATAATTGTATTAAAGAGAGCTCAATTAGAGATAACCAACAAGCAAAGTGCATTCCCTAGAAATAACCATGCAACACAGAGGCTGTTTCAGACCCGATACACAAGAAGAGAAGATCTCTGCCCTGCACACACTTTACAATATTAAAACACAAGCAAACTTGTACTTTGAGTAGTTTATTATAAATACTTTTACACTTTTACTGGAGTAGGTTTGTCATTTTGTACTTTTATTTCAAGTGATTTTTATGGGGATAACTGGACTTTACCCACCACAGGCCGGCGCTGACATGAGTGAATATTAGACAGCAGAGATAAGGACAAGCGTCACAGCCAGTCAGTGATGTGTTTAGATTGATGATTTATTTAAATTGAAGTCTCAGGCCTCAGCAACAGTGATTGCTTTACTCAAGAAGAGCTAGATCGTTGTTTCTAGTTTTGAAATGTATTTTAGTGGCTCATTTAATGATGAACTGCAAAAATTCTCAAGAATGCAGGAATAAAAGTCTCTAAAGACACAGAGCCCCCAACAAATGCTTTGTCCAGAGCGTGGCCTGACCAGGGACACAGGTCCAGCCCTGACCTCTGCATCCTGTTTGGCTTGAAAAGATTAAAACATTGATGTAATTTGTTTAAAAGTTTGAGCTCAGACAAGTCATCAATCAACAGAATACTATTATCAAGCAAAAAATGACAAACATTTGCAAGATGTGACCGTTTAAATGTGAGGATTTGCTGCTTCTTTCTATTTTATATAACTGTAACTGAATATCTTTGGGTTTTGGACAAAATGAGCAATCAGAGGACGTCAAATTTGGAATATTTTATTGGAATATTTAAAAAAGAAGACGTAATTGATACAGTAGATGAATCAAGAAATGACATAAAAAGTGCTTTTTGTTTCACAGGGAGTTTCTTTGGTTTAAAGTTTCACTGATCAGAAGCTTTGGTAAACAAGTGCATTATGTTCTGACATCTCGTAATCTGGCTGTTGAAGTTTAAAATTTGGAAGTTTAATCATCTCTGAGGTGCTTAAGTATGAATCTGATCGTCGGTTCAGTTCCTGCTGGTGATCAGAGACCTTTAGGTATCAAGGCCGGGGCAGCTGGTAATCCTGCGGGTGGTTTCCCTCACGTAGGCGTCCGAAACATCCGAGCAGCAGGTCCACCGCCGTGCTGACTGTAGACTGGACGTCCTCTTTGGACTGACCCCTCAGAGGATTCACCTCCACCATGTCCACAGCCGACAGAAGGCCTGCAGGACAAGCACAGCAGTGAGGCTACCTTTAAAATACTTAAAAAGTAAGGGCACTAAGGGCCACCTGAAAGTCGGCACCAAGCTCCAAACCAAAGTTTGTGTTTTGATGCATTTGGTTTGGTTTTACACTGTAATTATGCAAACGCACTAAAGAACTTCACATGCTTGCGTCCTGTTGTGATCATTTATGTGGGCTGCGTCTTGGCTTGTAAACGGACGTGTGTCTGTCTTGTCAGTAGCTTTGACAAGAATGTCAAGTGTGACATATGTTGTACTTTGTACTTCATGGACTGGATCCAAACCTACTAAATCGGTTTACTGTTGAACTGAAACACTACTGCACCTCAATTGAACCTTTTCTGGAAGAACTGAATTTCAATGTAAGATGTAAGTGATAAATCATTTGCATTTGTGTTGTTTTAACGCATCAATAAAACCTAAAAGATCCTGCCGCACAGGTTCAAGTTCAAACTTGCTAAATAAATGTCCTTGCTGCCGGCAGGAAAGGAGGAGTCTGTTTTTTAGATGAGCAGTCGTGGCTTATTTATAATTGAGTCCTTATTTCAGAGCATTTCTCCCTGCATTTTATATTTCCAGCTGATCTTCCTGTAAATGGTCTTAGTCCAAACCATGCAAAAACTGCTTTCGGGTTGGTTTGATCCGGGCCGAGGCTCCAGACCACGTCCAGGGAAGGTTTCACACTTGTAATTTTGGTTCAGATCAAACTGAAAAGTCTGGTCCAAGCTGTATCTATATATATATACAGCTTTAGAGCTTCTGGCAGGTGGAGTTTGCTTCTTGTGGACCGAGCCAGTCTAGCTGTTTAGATGTTCAGCTAACCAGCTGTAGCCTCAGATTTACTGTATAGCCGTGACAAAATATTGTCTGGCTCCATGTTTGTTGGTATTTTGAGTCGTACCTGTCTGACAGAGGTGTTCAGTGATGTAGACGCCCTCTCTGTAGGTGAGTCCTCCCACCACAGGTGTCCCGGTCGCCGGGGTAACAGAGGGGTCGATGGCGTCGATGTCGTAGCTCAGGTGGATCGGTTTCTTCACACTGTGAAAATTAGATTATTAGAATTTATTTTTACAGTGCAGACATGTGCTCAACAAAGGGAAGCAAGCTTAAAATAATCATTGTGGTAGTTTCCTCTGCTTCATAGTTTAAATCCATGCTGTGGTTGGACTTCGGACCCTGAGGGAGCTCACACATCCCGACAACACACAGACATCGTGAATACTGATTCAGGGGATATTTTAGTGTCGGTAGAAGTGAACCGATCTCTAGTAGTGGTCACAGGTCAGTAGTGGTCACAGGTCTATAGTGGTCTACAGGTCTGTAGTGTTCCACAGGTCAATAGTGGTCTACAGGTCTGTAGTGTTCTACAGGTCAGTAGTGGTCTACAGGTCTATAGTGGTCTACAGGTCTGTAGTGGTCACAGGTCTGTAGTGTTCTACAGGTCAGTAGTGGTCTACAGGTCTGTAGTGGTCACAGGTCAGTAGTGGTCTACAGGTCTGTAGTGGTCACAGGTCTGTATTGGTCTACAGGTCAGTAGTGGTCACAGGTCAGTAGTGGTCTACAGGTCTGTAGTGGTCACAGGTCTGTAGTGGTCTACAGGTCTGTAGTGGTCACAGGTCAGTAGTGGTCTACAGGTCAGTAGTGGTCACAGGTCAGTAGTGGTCTACAGGTCTGTAGTGGTCACAGGTCTGTAGTGTTCTACAGGTCTGTAGTGGTCACAGGTCAGTAGTGGTCTACATGTCTGTAGTGGTCACAGGTCAGTAGTGTTCTACAGGTCTGTAGTGTTCACAGGTCAGTAGTGGTCACAGGTCAGTAGTGTTCACAGGTCTGTAGTGGTCTACAGGTCTGTAGTGGTCTACAGGTCTGTAGTGGTCACAGGTCTGTAGTGTTCACAGGTCAGTAGTGGTCACAGGTCAGTAGTGTTCACAGGTCAGTAGTGGTCTACAGGTCTGTAGTGGTCACAGGTCTGTAGTGGTCACAGGTCTATAGTGGTCTACAGGTCTGTAGTGTTCTACAGGTCAATAGTGGTCTACAGGTCTGTAGTGTTCTACAGGTCAGTAGTGGTCTACAGGTCTATAGTGGTCTACAGGTCTGTAGTGGTCACAGGTCTGTAGTGTTCTACAGGTCAGTAGTGGTCTACAGGTCAGTAGTGGTCACAGGTCAGTGGAGGTCACAGGTCAGTAGTGGTCTACAGGTCAGTAGTGGTCACAGGTCTGTAGTGGTCTACAGGTCTGTAGTGGTCACAGGTCTGTAGTGTTCTACAGGTCTGTAGTGGTCTACAGGTCAGTAGTGGTCTACAGGTCTGTAGTGGTCACAGGTCTGTAGTGTTCTACAAGTCTCTAGTGGTCTACAGGTCAGTAGTGGTCACAGGTCAGTAGTGGTCTACAGGTCTGTAGTGGTCACAGGTCTGTGGTGGTCTACAGGTCAGTAGTGGTCTACAGGTCTGTAGTGGTCTACAGGTCTCTAGTGGTCTACAGGTCAGTAGTGGTCACAGGTCAGTAGTGGTCTACAGGTCTGTAGTGGTCACAGGTCAGTAGTGGTCACAGGTCAGTAGTGGTCTACAGGTCAGTAGTGTTCACAGGTCTGTAGTGGTCTACAGGTCAGTAGTGGTGACAGGTCAGTAGTGTTCTACAGGTCTGTAGTGGTCACAGGTCAGTGGTGGTCTACAGGTCTGTAGTGGTCACAGGTCTGTAGTGGTCAACAGGTCTGTGGTGGTCACTACAGGTCTGTAGTGGTCACAGGTCTGTAGTGGTCTACAGGTCTGTAGTGGTCAACAGGTCAGTAGTGGTCACAGGTCAGTAGTGGTCTACAGGTCAGTAGTGGTCACAGGTCTGTAGTGGTCAACAGGTCTATAGTGGTCTACAGGTCTGTAGTGGTCACAGGTCTGTAGTGGTCAACAGGTCTGTGGTGGTCACTACAGGTCTGTAGTGGTCACAGGTCAGTAGTGGTCTACAGGTCTGTAGTGGTCTACAGGTCAGTGGTGGTCACTACAGGTCTGTAGTGGTCTACAGGTCAGTAGTGGTCACAGGTCAGTAGTGTTCTACAGGTCTGTAGTGTTCTACAGGTCTGTAGTGGTCTACAGGTCAGTAGTGGTCTACAGGTCTGTAGTGGTCTACAGGTCAGTAGTGGTGACAGGTCAGTAGTGTTCTACAGGTCTGTAGTGGTCACAGGTCAGTGGTGGTCTACAGGTCTGTAGTGGTCACAGGTCTGTAGTGGTCAACAGGTCTGTGGTGGTCACTACAGGTCTGTAGTGGTCACAGGTCTGTAGTGGTCTACAGGTCTGTAGTGGTCAACAGGTCAGTAGTGGTCACAGGTCAGTAGTGGTCTACAGGTCAGTAGTGGTCACAGGTCTGTAGTGGTCAACAGGTCTATAGTGGTCTACAGGTCTGTAGTGGTCACAGGTCTGTAGTGGTCAACAGGTCTGTGGTGGTCACTACAGGTCTGTAGTGGTCACAGGTCAGTAGTGGTCTACAGGTCTGTAGTGGTCTACAGGTCAGTGGTGGTCACTACAGGTCTGTAGTGGTCTACAGGTCAGTAGTGGTCACAGGTCAGTAGTGTTCTACAGGTCTGTAGTGTTCTACAGGTCTGTAGTGGTCTACAGGTCAGTAGTGGTCTACAGGTCTGTAGTGGTCACAGGTCAGTAGTGGTCTACAGGTCAGTAGTGGTCCACAGGTCTGTAGTGGTCACAGGTCTGTAGTGGTCACTACAGGTCTGTAGTGGTCACAGGTCAGTAGTGGTCTACAGGTCAATAGTGGTCCACAGGTCAGTAGTGGTCTACAGGTCTGTAGTGGTCTACAGGTCAGTAGTGTTCTACAGGTCTGTAGTGGTCTACAGGTCTGTAGTGGTCTACAGGTCAGTAGTGGTCACAGGTCAGTAGTGGTCTACAGGTCAGTAGTGGTCTACAGGTCAATAGTGGTCTACAGGTCAGTAGTGGTCACAGTTCAGTAGTGTTCTACAGGTCTGTAGTGGTCTACAGGTCAGTAGTGGTCTACAGGTCTGTAGTGGTCACAGGTCAGTAGTGGTCTACAGCTCTGTAGTGGTCTACAGGTCTGTAGTGGTCACAGGTCTGTAGTGGTCACTACAGGTCTGTAGTGGTCACAGGTCAGTAGTGGTCTACAGGTCAATAGTGGTCCACAGGTCAGTAGTGGTCTACAGGTCTGTAGTGGTCTACAGGTCAGTAGTGTTCTACAGGTCTGTAGTGGTCTACAGGTCTGTAGTGGTCTACAGGTCAGTAGTGGTCACAGGTCAGTAGTGGTCTACAGGTCAGTAGTGGTCTACAGGTCAATAGTGGTCTACAGGTCAGTAGTGGTCACAGTTCAGTAGTGGTCTACAGGTCTGTAGTGGTCTACAGGTCAGTAGTGGTCTACAGGTCTGTAGTGGTCTACAGGTCAGTAGTGGTCTACAGGTCAGTAGTGGTCTACAGGTCAATAGTGGTCTACAGGTCAGTAGTGGTCACAGTTCAGTAGTGGTCACAGTTCAGTAGTGGTCTACAGGTCTGTAGTGGTCTACAGGTCAGTAGTGGTCTACAGGTCTGTAGTGGTCTACAGGTCAGTAGTGGTCACAGGTCAGTAGTGGTCACAGGTCAGTAGTGGTCTACAGGTCTGTAGTGGTCTACAATCCACAGTGCAGGAACATTTATTAGTGTAATTAAATAGCATTCTTTGAACCTGCAGATTGTGCCCAAACCTTCCTAAACTAATTATTTATCTCACTTCTGACTAATTTCATTGAAAATCATCTGCAGCTCCTTTGGTGTTGTTAGGATGTAGCAAGGTGGCTCCTGAGAGTGCTAATAGGTGATTGTTATGCAGGAGGTGGAGCTCACCTGGCAGAGAGGTAGTCACATGTCTCCTCCATGACTCTGGCCACACCGAGATGATCCACGTCCGACATGGAAAACACCTTCACACCCAGCAGCTTCAGGATGTAACTGGGGAAACAAAAGAATGACTCTTTTAATTCCTCACTTATTATGTTCTACAAAAATGTCCAATACCTGTTGGTTTGGACCAAATACCTGCAGAGCTGATGCCATTCCCATCAGTGTTTGCTGCTAATGTTAGCATGCTAACACGCTAAACTATGATGGGGAACAGGGTAAATATTGCAGATTAGCACTGTTACTGTGAGCATGTTAGCATTTAGCTGAACGCCTTGCTGTGACTGCATACAGCCTGACAGAGCAGCTGCAGACTCTTCCACCATCCAGTCTGTGGATGCAGAGTCGTCTCAGTGGAAAGACTAGGACGCATTAAGATCAGAATATCCTGGTTCCACAGTAGTATTGAATATTAAATCTTGAGACAGGAAAAGACGTTAATCTTCTCTAAACAGTTAAATGAACTCGTTTAAATGTGGATCTTCTCTGTCTTTCCCGTCTAAGTGACTCCAGATCAGCTCAGAAACCTACTGCTCCCCGGGATCCACGTCTCTCAATCCGATGTAGACGAGATCTTTGGCCGAGACACACGGCTTGATCCAGGAGAAGTTTGGCAAGACGGGAACCTGGTGAGGAAGGAACAACATTCAGCACCCGGTCTGCGTGATGAGAAGATACGCTCTGAAACAAACACGCATCTCGTCTCAGGACTGACCTCTGAGTGCAGCTCGTGGAGGAGGTAGGACATGGGCTGCCCGTGGATGTTTCCGGTGGACGAGGTCAGCGGCGTGTTGATGTCGGCGTGGGCGTCGACCCACACGACGCTCAGCTCCCCGACCGCCGCCGCGTGACCGTGGATCGAACCAATCGCCAGACTGATGGACACATGACGAACCACAGGGAGTGAGAGCTCAATATCCATATATTAAATGTTTTAATTTCAGTAGCACTTCACATCATAAAATAATAATAACATGTTTGACTTCCACGTGATTTTGAAGCTTTACGCTCATAGCAGCCGATAATACTGTGAAAAACCTGTTAGTACCTATTAATTACCCTTTAATGTCACTATATTACCAAATATTGCACTGATTTAACCTATTTATTGCTACAAGGTTACCAAATTGTTTCCAAAATATTACTAAATCGTTTTTCTCAGTACTCCCCTTTGTTTCCGGCCCCTTGTCACCCTGTTACATACATTTCAATATACACATTGTTAATACCAAGCTATGACCTGCTTATTACTTTGGTAAATAAATGGTATTACTATTTATTATCAAACTAATATAACACCTTAACTTATTTTTGTGCAGGTTCACAGGGTTGTTGATGTGAAAAGACCAATTAAATGTATCCACAGTTCACGAAGTGACTGACTGAAGTTTAAATGAAAGAGTTCATTACAGGCAATCTTTTAGTTTTAAACTTCACTGGCATACATGATTAAAATGTCTTCATAAAGCCCTGAAACTGAGAAATAAGATGTTTGTTTCCTGCAGTTCAGGTGATTTTTCAGCTGTAACCTTTGTGACTTAAATGTTCTCAGAGAATATGAACAGCAAGCAGCCTTTTGTCCCGACCATGTAAATCTTCTGTATTTTGTTGTCTGTACACGTGCGCTCTAAATAAAACCAACCAGAGAACTTCAGTATTGAAAGGTCCAGTGACCCCCCACGGATCGATCACTCGGTTTGATCTGGACTGTGTCCTGCAGGTGGATGATTGACAGACTGCTGTTCTTGGACACAAACCAAAGCCAACAATCTACGTCTTTAAATATTTACCACAGTAAAACTGAGATTCAGAGTGTTGGTATCAGCAGCATGTAAAAGATAACACACAGACTCTTAGTCAGTAACAGACCTGTTAGTGCAATACTCTCTACTCTTAATACATTCCACCTCAACACTACCTGGACTCATCATTATTATTATTTGTCTTTACACTTCTGGAAGCGCATCACCTTCAAGCACTGCCGTTAGACCCGAGTGTAACACATCCTGCCCATCAACAACTCAGACGTAGAAAAGTTCCCTCTGGTACCAAAACGTCCAGCACTGCTCCACCTCATCTTTCAGACCTGAACCTTCGGTTCGAGAATACTTTCTGTATTTTTAAACCTGAGCTCTATTTTCATGGACTCCCTGCAGTACATGCTGCAGCGGCTGTAACGTATTCCTTCAGGGTGATTGCGCCCCTCAAAATGGCGTCCACAACAAGCATTTCTTTTTGCCCTGACAGGCTCAGACTGTTACACCAAGTGTCTGACGACATCCCAGAAAGGATCCCTGAGAGGGACCCCAGTGGCCCCCTTTGTTTTTACATTTACATTTACTCATTTAGCAGACGCTTTTATCCAAAGCGACTTACAACATCCAAGCATCAACAGAGCATCAAATACAACAACAGGAAACTGAAGTCTCGCTCTGAAATCTCGTGAGAGGCGAGTTGTTGCAGGAAGACGAAGGTGCGAACACGAGTCAGAGCTGGAGAGAGAAGTTTGTCACGTTGGAATATTGTTAGGAATTAAAGTCTTGCTGCTCCTCAAAGGACACAACAAACTCCTCTCCCTCGTTTTCACCATGTGTTCCTGCAGCAACTTGCACGGATTCCAAAACCTTTTATACCTTCTTGTCATTTTAACACCAACATATTTAAAAAGAGGGCCCCTGTTTAGAAAAACCAAAAATTATCCTTTAAACCAACGTCAATTAAACATTCGGTCTCCTGTCTAAACAAGCAGCTGGGTCACTTTTCCATTAGCAAAAGATGTTACAACATCATTTACACTTTCAATGCACGGATTCCAAACCTTTTATACCTTCTTGTCATTTTAACACCAACATATTTAAAAAGAGGGCCCCTGTTTAGAAAAACCAAAAATTATCCTTTAAACCAACGTCAATTAAACATTCGGTCTCCTGTCTAAACAAGCAGCTGGGTCACTTTTCCATTAGCAAAAGATGTTACAACATCATTTACACTTTCAATGCAATTCTAGTCTAAACTACATGCTGACGAACTGACTTCCCACCAGGTGTTTTAGTAGGTAGTGTCTCCAGAGGGAGCTGTGAGACTCACCTGTGGTCTCCTCCCAGCATCACCGACGTGTGTCCGTCCCGCTTCACCGCCTGCACCGCCGCTGACAGCCTCTGGTTGGCGCTGCCCACCGCCCGCGCACGTTTCACCCGACCCACCGGCTCGTCGTCCGCCACTTCCTCAAACTTAAGGTTCCCATAATCCTTCACTGCACAGCCTGCAGACACAAACACAAACGCTCTCAGTAGAAACCTCAGAGGCGAGAGGAGCTGCTCACTAGATTCAGTTTAACAACCTGAAAAGGCTTCATTACAGGCAGATTTCTCTCTGAGTGAACATTAACAGCTGGCAGATCATTGCTGCTGCTGCTGCTGCTGCTGCTGCTGCTGCTGCTGCTGCTGCTGCTGCTCTGTGTGCAAATCTTTTCATTTTGCAATGCAAAGTAAACAGGTGAGCGCAGACAGAGCGGCCTGCTGCTGGTGAAATGAGTGACTTGTGAAACATCGACACATACTGCAGAATCAAACAGGTTATTTAAGTTTTAGTTTCGTCTGTTTCATCTGCAGCAAGTTACTCGTTAACTGAGTGTCCTTGTAGCTACATCAGCTGGTAATCCTCAGAAGTCAGCCAAAGTCGGAGGCTGCATTAACAAACGTTTTGAACATTTTCCTGAACAACTTTTGGGACGACTTTCAGAGATTCTTTACTGGAACCAGCTGCCTAATAATACTGACAAAATAGTTCTGCATTAATTTACATGCAGAGCAAGTTTTACTGTTTGATACTAATATGCATTATTTTAATTTAATCCTTTCTATGCCTTTTAGTCTACGGTTTACCAGTTACAGTGTGAGCTTCCGTGGGCGCTGACACTGTTGTGTGACGCTGCCACTCCTGAAGTCGAGGTTCATATTTTTTCTCTGAGTTCACAAGTAGGAAATCCAACTTCAGGTGGCGTCTAGTTGGAAATTTCCCCCAGTGTCCTGCATAAGAACTGAACGTCTGTCCAACCACCTGTTACTGTAGGAGGAGTTCGGATCCATTTCAATCACCAGTAACTGTTTTGTTTTTCTACATTAAAATCTCATTTTACTGCCAGTATAGACGGAGACCACCCTCAAACATTTCATAAGAAAAACAAGGTATTCATTCAGGTTGTAATTTCAAGAGTTTGCTTATTTATGAATATATTAACATCCAAGCACCTCTCGTCAGTCCTGGACAGCCTCTCGTTCTCAGCTGTTAGGTGTTAAAGTTCAAATGTTTTTGTAAAGGAGTCCATGTTGAAGTCAATTATGGGATTATTATGGGATTAATTGTTGTGGGTTTATTTAACGTGGTATCGGAATCGACTACTAAATTTCTGGTATCAGGACATCCTGACGTCACTGTTCACACGGCCACTAGAGGTCCTCGTCAGGTAAGAGTGTCGCTTCAGACAGGTGGAGAAACATGATGACATCATGTGTTAATGTTCTTCAGACAGTTTTTGGATGAAGTTTTAAGTTTCCTCTCAGGTACTTATTAATGTTCAGGTGGACTGAAACCCCAGGGAAAGAAAAGCCTGCAAGTGGAAGATGACTTTGCAGAGCTGACCTGTGCTTCGTCCTGTAATCTAATGATTTACATGTGGAGTCCCCACATGTGGCTGTGTAAACAGACTCATGTCCCCACAACAGCAGCAACACCCGCCTGCTGCTGCAGGATCAAGGTCGCACACACACACACACACACACAGACACACACACACAAACACACACTGACACACACACACACACAGACACACACACACACACAGACACACACACACACACATACACGCGTACCTATCCAACAGTGCACCGTCGGAGTAAACTGCCAAGTGTGGACCTGTGTTTCCAGTCCTTTTGAAGTAAAATAAATATAATACAAAATTTACTTTTACTGTCTTTTAACATAATATTACTGCAAATTTGCTTTTTTTTTGCTTTTTAAAGAAATTGCCAAGAGGGACTTAGATCCTTAAACGATAGCTACCTATCCAAGAGGGGACCTCCATTGTTATGCAGTGGAAGTGTCTGTGCTCATTCTCACCTAATGACTGTTTTTACCTTCAAAGACTTTCTTTGTTTCTTTCAAAAATGGATAATTTAACTTTAATGTGAGCGATGTGTAAACATTTCACCATGATCCAAACTTTAATCACTTAAACTGAAAATAAATAAACTTTAATTCAGAAGTAACTTTGCTGCATGCATTGATATCAAGCACTACAGTATTACCAACAAAAATTAGGTTTCAAATACCGTTGAAATAATAATAAAATGTCTTATTACACTAGTGCACTTATTTTAATTTTCTCTTAGGGGAATTCATATTCTTCTGTGTGGGATGGTCATTTTTATGACCTGTGTGGAATGGTGATGTATGCATTTTAAAGAGTTTTTGTATTTGCTCTTAATAACTGAATCTTAGACTGGTTTTGAATCACACATCCACTACACTCTGTTAAGGCTATTTAGATATCTTTAGGGGGTTCATTTTAAAGTCATTTATGAATGTAATGAGTTCAGACAACAGATAATGAGTTATCCTTTTTCTAATAAGGATAATTTGACATTCAAACTATAGCATGTATGACAAACGAAAGCAAAAACAATAATACATATAAATATAATCTCAACTAAGCAGTCTGTTGACACATGATTTGATAATATGCTTTTGTAACAAAACTTAAAGGCTCAGCAATAGTAGATTTCCTAACTAGTATTAAGCTTCAGACTGTAAGATAAAAGGCTACCCAAATAAATTGATGTCCTGATGAGTTTTCATCAGGAATGCATGGTATTTTCATGTTTGCATTAGGCCTACAGAAAAAAGGTCCACACTTGTATGGCATTTAATGACATGAATCCACTGTTGGTTGCTACATAACGACACATGTCCCCTCTTAGATAGCATGGAGCAACAGTCACACTCCAACATCCAGCATCAATAATTATTCTGCATGATTTGTTGTGTTTTTGTAATGAAATATAAAGTCTCAGCTTTAATGGATGGCTTAAGCATTTTCAATCTTGACACTGTATTATAATGAAGGGCTGCCCACAAGTTAGGGGAGTCATAAGTAAAACTTTACCAACTTAAACCTTCAAGAGCCTGAAGTTTGATCCTCCACCTGAGAAGCTGCTGTCCTTTGCTAAGAAATGTGTAACCCACATTACCCATGAGAAAAAGACTATTACCGATGACAAGTTGATCCCTTGGTGAAGTGTGGAATGAAAATGCTGGTTTAGTTACAGACTAGCAAGCTTAGATGTACGTGTGTACTTTATGGACAAGCCCTAATATAAAGGGCTACCCAAATTAATTCATGAAGCATTAATGTCCCGATGAGTTTTCATCAGGAATGCACAATATTTACTGGTCCGCATTGCCTACAGAAAAAAAGGTCCACACTTGTATGGCATTAAATGACAGGAATCCACTGTTGGTTGCTACATAACGACACATGTCCCCTCTTAGATAGTATGGAGCAACAGTCACACTCCAACATCAAGAGCCTGAAGTTTGATCCTCCACCTGAGAAGCTGCTGTCCTTTGCTAAGAAATGTGTAACCCACATTACCCATGAGAAAAAGACTATTACAGATAACACATTAAATGACAGGATTTAGCCCCCCAATTTTCCCAGTATATTGACCAATTATGACAATCACAGGGTTTCAATCAATTTTGCAATGTACATGTATCTTTAATCTATATGTAACGGAATGCATTTTGTTTTGTTGTTTTGCATTACAAAAATGTCCACTGTTGGCTGGTACATAATGACACAAGTTCCCTCTTAGATAGCATGGATTGACACTCACACTCCAGCATGAATAAATAAAAAAGAAATTGATAATTTCTAAGAGAAACTTATAATTTAAACTAAATATAATCTGTAGTTACTTGGGGTTTGAAGAGACACTAAGTTTACAAGACTAGGCGAGACACAATATTGGGTGCAAGTGTGAAATGTTGAAAATGTTAAGTAGTTCAAGTTCAAAGGCCTAACGATCATCATTGGTCGCAAGAAACCCTCCCCCACACTGCAGACAATCAGACACAGATTCTCACTGCAGACAATCAGAAACACGTTCACACCCCTCACCTGCTCCAGGTCACCTCTCAGAGACAGCACTCACACTTACATTTCTCCAGGGTTTTGTATTCAGCTTAACTCTGCATTGGATGCTAATTCATAACACAGTTTCCTACAACCACAAAAAGAAAACGGTACAAATATATGTAGACATATGTTTAGTAAAACTGCCCAAACACCAAATTCTAATAAAAATCTGATGATGGTACAGCCAAAGAGAAAAAATAAATACAGGAGAGAGGACACATGCTCATAAACTGAAAGTTTCTTGCTCTCTTCTCTCTTAACTTTGACCTTCAATTTACTGTATACTGCACTATAATGGCCACTCTACATTTTGGCTTTCAACAATACGCTTAAAAGAAATGTATGCCAGTTTGTATAGCATATTTACAATATTGGTAAGCCTGAGAGAAGTTCTCACCACTGTTAAATTATAGTATCCCTGACACAAGTGGCATGTAACACAAAATAAATTAAACACTCAATAAACACAATTAAGGCAAATAAAACAGAAGCCTTTTAACTACATAGCCTAAATACCTATGGTAGAAGCACAAAAAGCAAGGACAAATGACCAAATCATCAAAATCTGAGCAAGACAATAAGGCATTATGTTGGTTCTGAGACAGGCTGTAGGTAACTCAACCACTACACTTAATGTACGTAGAAGTTTAAATTCATCAGAAGCGAGTGACCTAGAATTTGAATGACTATGAATGCCTGGTTGACATTCATTGTAAGCCTTACATATTAAATGATTGATTATCATTTCAATTCTTTGTCCACAGGAGCCAGACATTCTAAAACTAAGACCTTAATCACCTAATTTGGTATTTAAATTCCATCTCTGTGACTTTCCCACTGCTTGTAAACCTTTTCAGTGACTTTAAGCATTGTTGATCATGTGTCAGACCAATCAGAGAGACCATCAGTCTTCCTTCTTTTGAGATAGATTTCAATCCTAATACACTATATGGACAAAGGTGCTACCCCTGTCCTAATAAATTTGGTAGGGGCTGTGTTTTCATGGGTTGTTAAGGGAAATCTTGCCTATGGATTTAGAATGGGATATCATAAAAGTAATGCGT